AGCCGGCGCAAACCGCCCCCATCCCCCCCGCAGCCAGAGAGACCACAGACCCCACCCACGGCTACACCGTGACCCACGCCGCACGTTCACCACCAGACCGAAACCCACCACAAGCATCCCCCCCCACCAACCTCCACCGCCATGCCCGCCGCCCGCCCCCTCCCCCAACCCGGACCCACACACAGGACACACAGGGAGGCAGCCAAGCACCGAGCACCACCACATCCGCACAGCGCGCGAGTCAAAATCACCACCCGCGCACCGATACCAACAACCTCGCGACACCTAAGCAGAGTGGCTACCCACCCCGCAGCAGCGGCACGCCGAATACAGGGCAAACACCGGTCCCCCCGTCAAGCCCGCGCCCTAGGCAACCCGAGCGCCCCCCCCCCCGCCAACACCATGCCATCAACCAACATTTAAAATTAGAAAAAGTCCCCCACGCCCGCACCGCAATGCATCTAAGAATCAACCCACCCCCAGACACACCTACCAGCCGTACGGGACCCTGACCAGCAAGGCAGTACACACCCACCCCAATTAAGTGATAAAGTTGATCAAGGGGGACCAGAGAGATTGGAATTGTGTCAATTTGTTTTTTTTTACAGCAGACATTTTCTCCATGCTAATGTGATCTATAAGGTGATTCCGATATTGGGTGATACTTATATTCTTTTTGGCCTTCCAGTTCATGAGGATAGTTTTCTTGGCGATGCATAAGGCAGTGAGAAGCATGTATGATGTGTCAACCTCTATACTAATGTCACTTAGGTCCCCCAGCACGCAGAGTGATGGGGAAACTGGGACGGGGTAACTTAGCCATATCGATAGGTCTTCACATATCTTCTGCCAGAACTTTTGAACAGGTGTACATTGCCACATAGCATGCATGTAACTATCAGATATGTTACCTGAGCAGTTCCGGCAGATGTTTGACTGCATAAGACCCATTCTGAACATCCTTTGTCCAGTATAGTGTGTTCTATGGAGAGTTTTATACTGTATAAGTTGTAGATTGGGATTTGTAGTCATTCTAAAGGTATTTAAACATATCTGCATCCAAAAGTTTTGGTCTGGACTAATGGATAGATCTGTTTCCCATTTTAAGAATGGGAGAGAGATTGAACTATCTGTTTTTAACAGTAACATGTATACTTTTGATAACAGTTTTGGAGGCGAGAGTTTAAGAAAGTCTGTTATCATTGGAGGTAAATCTAAGTCCATTATTTTATCCTTAAATCTAGCCTGAATTATGGATTTAAACTGTTGAAATTCCAGAAATCTATTATGGCTAATTCCATATTGTGCCACTAGATCCTGGAATGGAATAAAGTTACTGCCTTGCATTACATGCTCTAGATGTCTTATCCCTTTGTCATACCACAGTGGGGAATTTAGTGTTTTCTTATTTTGCAGGATGTCAGGATTATTCCAGATTGGGGTAAATCTGCATGGGATAGGTGAAGACCCAGATATTTTGAGAAGTTCCCACCAAGCTGCCAAGGAAGTGCTTATGTTAATGCTTTTAAAGCAGGTATGACGTTTGATGCTGGAACTGATGAATGGCATATCGGAAATTTTAATTTCATTACAGAAGGTTTGTTCTATGTCCATCCATGAGTGGTCCAGGGGGCTCTGATTGATCCATTTTGAGATATATTGTAGTCTATTAGACAGGAAGTAATGATAAAAATTTGGCAGTTCTAAACCACCACAGTCTTTTGCTTTTTGCATAGTTTTTAGACTGATTCGTGGGGGTTTATTTTTCCACAAAAATTTTGAGATGTTTGAGTCCAGTGATTTAAACCAGACAGCAGAGGGTTTGGTGGGTAACATTGAAAACAGATAATTGATTTTAGGTAGGACCATCATTTTTATGGTGGAGACTCTTCCCATGAGTGATATAGGTAATGATGTCCACCGTACAAGGTCATCCTCTATAGATTTAAGTAAAGGCGTGTAGTTTAGCCATGTCAGTTCTGACAGCCTGGAGGAAATATTGACACCCAGATATTTAATATTCCCAGACTTTAGCGGTGTGGTAGATATACTCTGGAAATCACACTTTACAGGTAAAACTATGGATTTACTCCAGTTAATGGAGTAGTCTGAGATGGATGAGAATTTATCTATAAGTGTGATTGTCTCAGAAAGAGAAGTTTGTGAGTTTAGGAGGAAAAGTAATACATCATCTGCATAAAGGCTTATCTTATGGTGTATATTTTCTGTTTGAATTCCTTTAATATTATTATTTTGTCTGATCGCAGCTGCTAGTGGTTCTATAAAAATAGCAAATAGCGAGGGAGAGAGTGGGCAACCCTGCCTGGTACCCCTCTGGAGACTAAAGCATGGAGAAGTATGATCATTTGTTTTGACAGAAGCTCTTGGGGAACTGTATAAGATTTTAATCCAATCTATGAAAGAGTTTCCAAATCCAAATTTATATAAAGTAGCGAATAGAAATTTCCAATTTACTCTGTCAAATGCTTTCTCTGCATCTAAAGAAACAACTATAGTTTCCAGGTTATGAATAGTGGCATAGTCTATTACGTTAAGTAGCCTGCGTGTATTGTTGGTGGAGTGCCTACCCTTAATAAATCCTGTTTGGTCAGAGTGTATTATACCAGGAGTGACCTTCTCTAGCCTTCTTGCTAGGGTTTTGCAGATGATTTTAAGATCTGCGTTAATAAGTGATATTGGGCGATAACTGGACGGGAGTGTGGGGTCTTTGTCTGGTTTAAGGAGCAGGCTGATATTAGCAGAATTCATTGTTGGAGGCAACATGCAAGTACCCCTAATTTGCATAACCATCCTATAGAATGTGGGCGCAAGTATTTCCCAGAATTCCTTATAGAGTTCAGCGGGAAAACCATCTGGCCCAGGGGCTTTATTATTCGGCATATGTAAGAGAGCTTCCTGGAGTTCAGCCATTGAAACAGGTGAATCCAGAGCCCTGATCTGTTCATCATCTAACCTTGGCAAATCTATATTGTTCAGAAATGCATCGATGTTAGAGCTAGATGGGTCAATTTGTGATGTATATAAGTTTTTATAATAATCTCTGAATGCATTGTTGATTTCTTCTGGGTTATAAGTCAGATTCCCAGCTGAGTCCTTTAAGGAAGAAATAGTTATTTTTTCTTTATTCAATTTCAATTGGCTGGCTAAGAATCTGCCGGATCTATTGCCATGTTCAAAGTTCTCCAAGCGTAGTCTTTGCAACTGAAATTGGGTCTTTTTATTAATAATTTCATTTAATTCAAGTTTTGATTTTCTCAGATCATTCAGCATGTGTTCCTGTGGGGAGGCAGCAAGGGTAGTTTCTAATGTTTTTATTTTTTGTTCTAGCTGTAATTCACAAGATCTCTCTTTCTTTTTTTGTATGATGAATAGGAGATTATTTTACCTCTCATGACTGCTTTTGCTGCCTCCCAAAGAAGACATGGCGAGGTTCCTGGCAGGTCATTAGTTTCCATATATATTGCCCACTCCTTTTTGAAGTAATTTATAAAATCTAGGTCTTTAAGCAATGATGCGTTAAATCTCCAACTTCTAGTTGGCTGTGTGACCCTTTTTTTAGTAAGAGTGATAGAAACCGGTGCATGATCACTGATAGTGATAGGGTGAATCTGAGTGTTGGAAATGTCTGTCATAATTGAGCTGCTAACCAAAAAATAGTCAAGGCGAGAAAATGAGTGGTGGACTGGTGAAAAGAAGGTATATTCTCTAAGAGTGGGGTGGTGAGAACGCCAAACATCACAAAGACCAAAATCGCTCATGTATTGTTTAAGGATGTCTGTTGATTTCCAAATACGGTGACCACCTGCCGTACTGAGCCTGTCAACTGCTGGATTACATACCATGTTGAAGTCCCCTCCTAATATAAGAGCTGTGTCTGAGTGAGCAGAGAGTGAGTTGAAGAAAGCATGAAAAAAGGAGGGGTCGTCAACATTTGGGCCATAGATGTTAGCAATGCATAAAGGAGTATTTTGAATCGAAATGTTAACAATAATGAATCGACCCTCTGGATCAATAGTAGTGTTATTATGATTGAAGTGTGTTTTTCTATTTATCATAATGGTGACACCCCTTTGTTTTGAGTTATAACAGGCTGAGTACGAGTGAGGAAACTGTGGTGAGGTTAGTTTATCTGCTGTCTTGGGTAAATGAGTCTCCTGTAGTAGGACAATGTCTGCTTGCAGATTATTTAGATGGTTAAAAATTTTTAATCTCTTTTCCCTTGAACCAACTCCGCGTACATTCCAAGAGGTGATTATAAGTGAGGTCATCATTCAACTAAGGGATGTGGTGATGGCTAGTGTGTGCAGTGTGCGTGTTGTATCATTGTGTGTGTTGTATGCGCCTGTATGTGTGTGTCTATGTGTTCATGTTGTATGCGCCTGCGTGTGTGTGCTAGCGGTGTGCCCGACTGTTTGTGAATTAAACAGTATGAAAATTGCGCAGCTGATCGATGTGTAAACGGCGGAGGAAGAGCAACATTAACAAAAGAAAGAAACAGTGAAACAAAAACAGGGGAAAATACACAAAACATTATCGGACAGACTAGTCAGATAACCACAGTATAGGCTGTTGAGACGTGCACTGTATTTTATAACTATTAACTTGCCATATGTCACGGAGTAATTAACTGATAGGGGAAAAAATGATCGCATAGTGATACAGTTCACCTGTTGCTGGACTTGGTTCTTAGTAGAGCCAAGGAGTGGTGTCTCGGTCGCGGTACAGCTGGCCATCGACGTAAAGTTTATCCACGCGATGACAGCCCGTGATCCTTCTCCAATAAGCTTCTTTCTTATCGGGAACAGGACTCGGCGTCGGTCCAGGATCTCCCGGGGAAACTGGTCGTTAACGCTGAAGTTGGTCCCTCTCAGCTCCCTGCCGCGGCCTTTAACCAGTTCCTTCTGCTTGAAGTGTTCAAACTTCGCGACGATGGGCCTGGGCCTCTGGTTCTCCTGTCGCCGTCCTCCCAGGCGGTGCACCCGGTGGAAGCTGATGTTCTTTACGGTCTCGGCCGGGAGCTTCAGTTGATTTTGGATGAAGCTTTTAACGGTCTCCTCTGGGGTTTCATCCGCCTGCTCCGGGATACCCGAAATGACCAGATTATCCCGCATACTACGAGCCTGGAGATCGATGATTGCTTCTCTAATGTTTTTATTGTCTGCCGAGAGCCGCGTCATTCCCTCCGTGAGGGATTTAACCGAACCTTTGAGGACCTTGTTTTCTGCCGCGAGCTCAACCACCTGTTTCTGGCTGAACTCCAGGGATTCCCGCAGAGCCTGAAACTCTTTGTGAAGTACTTCCACAAGAGATAATCGGGCATCAAAGCTGGACAATTTCTTGTCTATTGAATCCAGAATCTCTGTAAAATCTGCACCTTGCGAGGAGACTGCTCCAGGTGAGTCTTCAGTGCGGTTTCTTTTTGATTTCCCCATGACCACTCGATGAAAACACTGGTCAATATAAACTTCAAGGTCCTCCAAACACTCGTCCTCGAGGTCCTCCAGTGCGATTTGACTGCTTTATTTGTTAATTCGCTTAAAATTGGATTGTTTGTTTAATGAATTGTTTGTTTAGCTGCGCGCTGCCATGTTTGAATTGCACCAAGTCTCACGAGATTACACAAACGCTCACCGTGTCATCTCCTCGCCGTGTCCTATGTCAAATGTCTCACTTCTCAAATGTCTCACAAAGGCAGTTGTTAAGTGAACTCGCCGTGTCCTATGTCAAATGTCTCACTTCTCAAATGTCTCACAAAGGCAGTTGTTAAGTGAACTCAGCATTCCAGGGTCTGTGGATCTGACGGGCAAGTATATTTGTGTGTCATCAGCATAAATATGAAAAGAAATGCCATGTTTATGGATAATATGTCCAAGGGGAAGCAGATACAAGGAAAACAAAATGTGTCCTAAGACCGACCCCTGAGGCACACCATATTAACTGGACAGAACAAGGAGACATAGTTGTTTACAGACACGCAAAACTTCCTATTGACTGAGCACATGCCTTCATCAGCAGACATTAAAAGGTCATTGGTGACTTTAAGCAGGGCAGTCTCAGTGCTGTGGTACTTCCTAAAACCAGACTGAAACTTTTCAAATAATTTGTTATTTTCCAGTACAGTGCGCAGCTGTTTGGACACAATTCTTTCTAGAATCTTTGCAATAAAAGGCAGTTTTGAAATTGGTCTAAAATTATGTGGGAGGGAGGGATCTAAACCAGGTTTCTTTAAAAGTGGGTTCACGCAAGCCGTTTTAAAATAATCAGGGACACAACCAGTAGATAGGGAGCTGTGGAAAAAAGAGATCAAATGGGGCCCAAGAGAATCTATTACTTTCAGTAAAAATTTTGTAGGTATTATATCAAGTGGGCTGGAGGACACTCTCATTTGTGATACTGTTTTTAAAAGCTCAGACAAGTCGATGGGATAAAACTGGTTAAAACTCTCTTGTTGCTGGTGAGGAACCTCTGAGTAAGAGGCCGCGGGGGTAATAGAGGCTCTGATTGACACCACCTTATTGGTAAAATAAGATAAAAACAATTCACAGTCATCATTACTTCTGAGGCACAATGAGGGGTTGGGTTTACCAGCTGATCCACATTCTTAAACAGAAACCTGGGATTGTGTTTATGTGTAGTAATGAGTTCAGAAAACTTACTTACTTACTAAATCCTTCAGACTGAGGTAATGGACTTGGAGACTGGATTTTTTCCATCTGCGCTCTGCTTTCCTGCATTCCCTTTTTAGGCTGCGAATGCTGTCATTTATCCAGGGTTGCTTACTAGCTTTAGACGTAGGCCTAACCTTTAGAGGAGCAGTAAATGCTGTAAATGCTCCGTACTTGTATAGCGCCTTTCTAGTCTTTTCGACCACTCAAAGCGCTTTTACACTACATTTGCATTCACCAGTCACACACATTCATACACTGAGCCTAAGTGCTCAAACAGAAACTAGCATTCACACTCATTCATACACTGGCGGAACAGCCAGGGGCAAATCGGGGTTCAGTATCTTGCCCAAGGACACTTCGACACGCAACCAGGGAGCCAGGGATTGAACCGCCGACCTTCCGATTAACGGCCAACTCCTGAGCCACAGCCGCCCCCAGTAATATTAGTGACGACAAGCAGATATGATTGAAGTGATCAACCAGATTGTTGGTGTTGGAATCAGACAGGTGTTGGCTTTGGCTCTGAAAGAATGCGCAAAACTTTGTTCATTAAAGATGCGACAACACACGGAGCTTGGTGAGGCGGCATGAGTAACAGGCGAATCGCAGCTAAAAACAATACATCTGTGGTCAGATATGGTCATGTCCACTAATTCCAAATGCGGACACCCAGGGTAAAAACCAAGTCCAGTGTATGACCACGGTTATGTGTTTGCCCTTTGACATGTTGTTTGAAGTTAAAAGAAGTGGCCATATTTAAAAAGTCAGTTGCATTAACATTGTTGGGGTCATCAACATGAATATTGAAATCGCCACAAAGAACAATTCTGTCATAATTTAAAACCAGAGTAGATAATGGCAGTTTAGGCAGAAGATATTTTGAAACAAAATATCTTGTAGCATGAAACCAAAAACATGTAAAAAAGATTTTAAACCATTTCAGATGAATACTCTGATAAACTGATTGATCCACTGATAAACAGCATGATCAGAGTAATCCAAGTCCCTGCTGGAGTCAGTCAGAGCATTTCCATAGAGAGCCACTTTGCATCAGCAGCACCATGCTCCAGTGCTCTGGGAGAGTTTATAGTCCTGAGAGTTGAACACTGGATGACTGACAGCTGTCCTTCATGACAACAGAAGCCACAGAAATCCTCCTCATCAAAAACATGACTTTGATCTGCGTCCTCATCTGGACTCTCCTCTGCTGCTGCTTCACAGGTAAAGTCCAGAGAATCAACTCCTCTCCTCTATGAACATCCGTCCCTCTGAAAGGAAGCCCACAAAACCATGACGCTGCTTTATGTTTTGTCTCTGTATCCTCAGAGTCCAGAGGCCAGGTCACAGTGACTCAGCCTGGAGCAGTGAGCTCTGCTCTGGGAGGCTCCGTCTCCATCAAATGTAGGACCAGTCAGAATGTTTACTATAGCAGCCCAAACCACTATTTAGCCTGGTACCAACAGAGAGATGGAGAAACTCCTAAACTCCTCATTTACTTTGCTAGCACTCGAGCATCAGGGATTCCAGATCGTTTTACAGGCAGTGGATCAAACTCTGACTTCACTCTGACCATCAGTGGAGTCCAGACTGAAGATGCAGCAGTTTACTACTGTCTGAGTAATCACTATATCAACAGTCAGTGTGTGTTCACACAGTGAAAAAGCGTCGTACAAAAACCTCCCTCAGTAAGACTGAACAGAAACTGAACTGCAGAGACTGATACACTTCACTGAGGACACACACACACACACACAAACACACACACACACACACAACACACATGCTTTACACACACAATTTCATCAAATAGATTGAACATTTCACTGTTGCTCTAACCACCAATGAACATGTATCAAAACAACTTCAATAAAAAATATAGCCGCAAGGGGCAATGATCAGGATCCAAGCAAGTCATTAAACAACATTTACATTTTCAGAGGAGGAGAACTACGGAGTCCCCCAAGGTCCACTTTACGTCGTGGCCTCACAATACTATCTCGTGGCCTCAAGATAGTACCTGCTGGAGCAGGCACTGTGCACTCTGTTTTGGGGAGAAAAGCTGCTCCATTGTGCAGGCTCATTGTGCAAAACCTTAAACAAATTCAGGTAGTTTAGACACTGTTAGCAAATCTCATCCACTCTTTTTGCAAAACTCTTAACACATTCTCACTCACTAAAACACATTTTGCACTGTGATGCACTTGTGTTGCAAAATGTTAAATACATGCGCCAAAAGTTAAACACAACTACACAACTGTCATCATTTACACACAACAACTCATAATTCTGCACACTTGTTTCTAATGATGTGATCAAACCAATATGTGGTCAAGTCCCTGGCCAGCATAGGGCAATGTCACCCTTTGACCAAGCTATAAGTAAGGGACAGTTTCTCTACCCTTATTCAACCTTGGGGCTATAACTGATCATCTTCTTACTTTTCTGGGTTGTCGTTGGAATTTTGTGTTTGAGCGTGAGCTGCAGGTCCATCAGCTGGCAGTACATCCTGTCTATGTGACAATGTCAGCTTTCACTGTGGTGTCCCACAAAGCAAGTGGTTCAACGTAAACCAGCAACCAGTGATTCATAAATGATTACCTTCAACCTACAGACCTTACTTCAGTCCAACAGAATAATGTTTCTCTGCCTGATGGTGGAAGGTCTATGACCGAAACTCATTTACAATGGAAAATCTCTTACGGCCAATATAAATGGTCTGTGGTGAGATAGGTGTGGAGTGTTGTTACAGTCAGTCTGCTTCCAGTACTACAGAGGGTTTTCCTCCTTTGCTTGGCGAGGGACAAGATTGCATGTGATGTGGATGAAGTCTCTTACTGTACTGACTTTGATTCCGCAGTTACACAACATTTTTGAGTGTAATGTGCTTGTCATTTATAGTTTTCTTTGTTCTTTGGGCTTACTGTATTTAAATATACAGATATTCAATACTGTATTACTTGCAGTACTTACAGTATACTACATATTTACTGTACTAAGTTGTGATTACTATACTTTTTAAATTGGAGAATTGTTTCCTCTACGCAAAAAAACATTTTCTGTAACTACATGCCCTGGACGAGATGCTCTGTAGTGTTTAACCTATTGACTGGCTGTGTTTATGTTTTGAAAGCATTGTTTGATTTTGAGCACAGATCAAATGGTTTTGAGGCAAGTGTTTGATTTGATCTTAGCAATTGTGAAAAACTGTAATGAGAAAGGTTTTGCTCATGACCTTTGACCCAGTCTCTTACCGGATCACAGCTATTTTAATGATTTCCAGTTAAAAGAAAATATGAACACAGATCAGCACCAGAAACCTTCATAACCAAAGATGGCCCAAACAAAACTGTTTTTCAATATACAAACTAATGTAATTTTAAAAACGTTTCAATATCAACTGAAGTCATGAAACCATAAAACTATACTTACAAGTGTATCATTTA